CTGCATTGAAACAGATGAGGGAGAAAACTGTTTAAAAGGGATATGTGATTAGGTATTTTTGTCATGACAGGAGTCCAGAGTGAAGGCTACATGGTGGAGTGGACCTGGGGGAGGGTTTGTAAAACAATGAAAGAATTTTACTTTTCCAAGAGAGTAGTGTACTAGGATGGAGGGTTAGGAGGGGAGAAAAGTGCAACAATGAATGAATAGAAATCCAAAGTCTCTGTAAATTTTTACTGACATTAATAATAAATTTAAATAAATTTTTAAAAAAAGAATGTTGAAATATAGTCCATATTGAAGGTTGTAGCCTTTGATCTTCTACAGTGCTTCAAGTCCTCCTAACTTTCAGCAAATAAGGTTTTGGCATCTGCATAACTCAGGTTGTTAATGCATCTTCCTCCCATCCTGATACCACATTCTTTTTCATAGAATCCAGCTACTTGAATGATTTTCATGATATTTTTATTCTCAGCTACAGATTTAATAAGTATGGAGAAAGGATACAAATCTGATCCACATCTTAATTTGAAAATATGCAGTGTTCCCTGGCTTTGTTCAGACAATGACTTCTTGGTCTAGTTAAGGTTTTGCATGAGCACAAATGGGATTTCCATTCTTCTTACTATTAGTCATAATTTTTTATGATCTACACAGTCAAATGCCTTTGCATAGTTAACCAAACACAAATAGACATTTTTCTGATATTCTATACTTTCAGCATGGATCCCTCTGAAATCTGCAATGATATCCCTGGTGCCATGCCTCTTCTAAACCCAGCTAGAACTCAGGCAATTTTCTATCAATGTAGTGTTCAAACTGTTCTTGGATAATCTCCTACAATATTTTGCTTGCATGTGATATTATTTAATAATGTTTTATATATTTATGCAAGTTGTTGTTATCGTGTACCCTCAATTAGTCATAGCTGACCCTCTGGAAGGTTTTTCAGAGGTAGTTAATCACATGGGAGGACTTTACACATCCTTCTCCAGCAGAGCCGCTGGCAGAGTCAAACCACATGCCTTTGGGATTGAACTGAAGCCTCTTGCCACTAGGCATCATGAAAGGCCTGCCAATTTGCTTCCATAAAGATTATAAAGTAAAATTCCCTGCCCTGTAAACCTTCTAACAGTGGGAACACAAACTGAAACAATAAAGAAATTATTTAGTATTTTATCAAAGAACTTCTATGGAGACAAAAATGCAGCAAGATAAAGTATTGGAAATGTTCAGGATGGAGGGACGGGAATGCAGTAATAAACAAGATGATCCAAATATGTCTGTTTGAATCATGACAATGACTTGAAGGTGAAGATTTGCTTTATGAAATTTCTATGTACTTCTGGTCAGGACTGAGAGCCTTCCTAGAAGGAATCATCTGGGTCCTACCATATAGTTCTTACTCTTAGTTTCCTCTTCCTCTTAGGATTTATTTCTTAAATATTAGCTTCATTAAATAATGCAGTGCAATGACTAAGGAGAAATTAGTCTTTCTCCGGGGACTGGTATGGGTTTTTTTTTTTTAAATTATACCCTCCAAAAGATGGCATCTTAAATTTGAGAGGGTTTTTTTTTAAGTCAAAATCGGAAATCATTTTAGACAACAGCTAGAGCTAAACCAAAGCTCCTATTCTAAAGTGAAGCCAAAAGGGAGCTAGTGTTTTTTTTTCCATGTGCCAGACCATCCAACATCATAAAGCAATTCTGACAAATTATGTAGAAGTTTCGTCTCACATACTTCGGGCATGCTGACCTATTCCTTGCAGAGGGACATGATGCTTGGAAAGGTGGAGGGACGGTTAAGGAGATTAAGACCCAACCACGTGGATTAACTCAGTCACTGCAACAATGGGCTCGAATGTGTCAGAGATTGTGAGGATGGCATAGGATAGGGCAGGGTTCAGATCTGTTGTTCTTACGGTCGCTATGAATAATACAGACAGCATCCCGCAATAGGAAGCGATGACGTCCAACCCGATGACACGTTCCCCCAGCCCTGCCCAGGGGAAAGCCGCATCCGCTCAGGCGTAGCGCGGGCAGCCCCGGCTGGGCCTTTCCTGACTCCGGCGCCGGGGCCCTTCGTCAGCGCTTGCTTGGCGTCCAGAAACATGGCTGCCCTGGCGATTGCTGCCCTGGCGATTGCTGCCCCGTGCAGGGCTCTCCTGCGGGCAGGCGCTGAGCAGATGCTTCGAGGAGGAGTCTGGGACCTACTCCGTTCGCGAAGTGGAGCAGGCACCTCTGGCCTGGAGCGCGACTTCAGCCTCTCTCAGAGTCGGGTGAGTGTCAGGTCGGAGTTGTAGGGGGCTCGGACCCTAGCTATTTATGCCCAAGTGTTATTTCTTGGGGCGGATGATTGACCCTCCTGGAGAAAGGAGACAGTTTAGTGGAGACTTGCTCACCTGCGCTTTCCCGGTCGTCAGGGCACAGTTATTGTGGAGCGCTGGTGGAAGGTGCCACTCGCCGGGGAGGGTAAGAAGCCGCGCCTGCACCGGAGACACCGCGTCTACAAGCTGGTGGAGGATACGAAACACCGACCCAAAGAGAACCTGGAGCTCATCCTCACACAGTCCGTGGAAGGTAAGGCCCGAGGGAGGTACTTCCTATCTCGGGCTGTCCCAGTTTATTATCACCTTCTCACACCCACTCCCCCATATGTTGCCTTGCTTTCTCTACACGTGGGGATAATTAGTTCTGTCTTTCAGGAAACAATGAAGATTGTTGCTGTGATCGTGACGTTGGCCATTTGCATGGAAAATTAGAACAAGAATGCAGTGATAGCATCAACAGAGTGTAGGGGGAGAGGCCTGACAGCGTGTGCCACAGTGATGTCCTCCAGTGAGACACTCACTACCTCACTCAGCACAGGGAAAAGATTTCAAAATCAGGCCTCAAATAAACTAGACGTATCTTAAATGTTGTTTCTAGTGAATATTAATTAGCATTACTTATAGGAAGATTAGGCACTGTTTTCTTCTTGTTATTGTTATGTGCCGGCAAGTCATCTGCAACCCATACCAACCGTATGTACAGCAGCTCTGAAGCCTGCCCTGTCCTGAGCCAGTCTGACTCCGACACACCAACCCCCATTGCCGCAGTCACTGTATCAATCCATCTCATCTGGGGTCTTCCTCTCCTGCACTCTCCCTCCACCCTTCCAAGCATGATCTCCTCCAAGGACTGGTCTTTCCTGCCCAAAGTATGTGAGATGGAGCTTCAAAATCCTAGCCTCCAAGGAGAAACTTGTTTTTACTCTCTCCAAGACAGACCTATTTGTTTGTAGAGAACAAAAAGTACTTCTTTTTTGTGATAATTTTCTGCTTAGGATTTCCCAGATAGTTCTCCTGATCTTGTGTCTCTCTTGTTCTCGTTGACAGAACTTGGAGTTAGGGGCGACTTGGTCTCAGTAAAGAAATCAGTGGGCCGGAATAAACTCCTTCCTCAAGGACTAGCAGTATATGCATCCCCTGAAAACAAGAAGCTTTTTGAGGAGGAGAAATTGGTGCGTTCAAAGCAAGGACAGGGAGGGAGGTTTGGAACAATGAGAAAAGATTGGTTGTTTAGTTCACATAAAAAGTCCTGTGCTTGGATAGTAAGGGTTTCATATTACTTATTATGACTTTGTTTTTCTTTTTCTCATCTTTAACTTTCTTTTCTAGCTAAGGAAAGAAGGAAAATTAGAGAGGATCCAGACGAAGGCAGGTGAGGCGGTGAGTAGAAACATAAAAAGTCTGTATTTGCTGGTCATTCACAGACATCACCACCTCTTCTTAAGAGCCTTTCCAATTTTCCTAAAGTCTTCTGATTGTAGACCTGAGAGTCAGGAAAAGAGGAAATGGGGCTACTCTAAGTGATACAGAGACTTCCTAGCAGATCCAGAGCTGTCATGTAAAGTGCCCTAGCTTATGGAGAAGGTAGGCACTAGGAGGTCCATGAAAAGATAAGCGCTCTGCCCTCAGAGATCCCTTACTTATAAATTGGAGATAAGACATCTAAGAAGGTGATCAATAAATTTAAGACATAATTTATGAAACTGATGTGAACCCTAATGGTCCAGAGTGATTAGGGAGGCATTTGTGGAGCAGAAGGGATTGAATTAGGCCTTTTACTGATAGACTTTAAATAGGCAAAGAGGACAAGAAAGATAAAATTTTTTGTCTCTTGAAATTTTTAATTTTATAATGATAAGTTTCAGAGGTTTCATTCTTTCTATATAATTTATATATTTAGAACAAGAAGCTATTTTTCAAACAGAACAAAGGAACACTGCATGGTTTCAAAGCAGGAAAAGTGTCTTTTCAGGATTGGATCTTTTCCCCATACCTATTTAGTCTGTATGCTGAGCAAATAATTGAAGAATCTGGACTAGATGTGGCATCCAGATTAGAGGAAGACTCATCAGCAATCTCTGATAGGCAAATGACACAATCCTGCTTACTCAAAGTGAAGAGGAAGTGTTGTAAAACATTAAAGACTACAGTCTTCAATATGGATTTCATCTCTACATCAAGAAAACAAAAATCCTTTCCACTGGACCAAATAGGCAACATCTTGATAGATGGAGACACGATTGAAATTGTCAGCTATTTCATTTTACTTTGACCCCCTCCAATCAACACCCAAAGTAACAGTCAGGAAGTCAAAAGACATGTTGCATTGGGAAAATTGGCTGTCAAGGACCATTCCACAATTATAAAGAACAGTGATAACAATTTGACTAAAGTATACCTGATCTGGGCCGTGGACTTTTCATTTACTTCCTATACATCTGAAAAATTGGACTATATATAATGATAACAGAAGAAGAATCAGTGCCTTTTCAATTATGGTTTGGGGCAAGAATGCTGAATATCCCATAGACTGGCAAAAGAACAAGCAAGTCCATTTAGGAGGAAGTGCAGCCAGGGAGCTCCTTAGTGGCAAGAATGGTGACACCTCGTCTCACCTCATACTTTGCTGGGCATTTTGTTTGGAGAGGCCGGATCCTGGGAAAGGTAGAGGGTCAGAGAAAGAGGAAGACCTTCAACAAGATGGCTTGAGACGGTGACTGGAAGAGTGGGCTCGAGCATGTCAGAGATTGTGAGGATGGTGCAGAATAGACCAGGGTTCACATCTGTTGTTCATAGGGTCTCTGTGAGATAGAGTTGACTCAACGACACTGAGCAACATCTATCCAGACTTTATTTTCAAATTTCACATCCTGCTATCTATCATCTTGGGATTTGGTGACGAAATCTATACTGAACCTACAAAATAGTTCTCAAATTCATAATATTGCCATTTAGTTAGCTGTATTTCTTCTGTCAACTTACTCAGTACTGTTGAGTCAAGACCAACCCATAGCCGGCCCTCCCAACAGATTTTCTGAGTCCATAAGTCACACAGGAGGTGATTGCTTATCTTTCTTTCTTTGAGCTGCTAGTAAATTCAAAGCAGAGAGATGCTATACCTTTGGGTTAGTAATGTCACTTCTACCACTGTGCCACGTAAGCAGCCTCTGTATTTCTTGTTTCTTTAGATTGTGGATACAGTACTTAGTTATAAATGGTGTCTTTCATTAAGTGTACATGCTGATTGCCTTTATATAAGAAATCAGCAATTTATTTTTAATCTAAATTCCAGTAACTACATTATTTAAGTCTCTGGTATTCATCTATGATAAAATTTTAAGTTCACATCCAGACATGGAACTACTATGAGATTGTACAGAATATTTTTTAATATTGGGGGGCGGAAATAAAGTAGAAATTAGAATCTTTATTTTTAAAACTATTTACTTAGAGTGAATTCAGTACCTTTTTACTTCCTCCAGTGTTTCAGAAGAGACTAGATTCATACACTTAAAGAATCAGTCTCTGGTGAATGAAGAGATGAAAAAGGGCTTGTTTTTATTGATAGGACATTAGTAGAAAAGATAATCCTCTTCTTTGAATCCAGGCTCGCTGTGGTTGTGCAGTGCACCTGCCTTCTCTGTGTGGAAATTCTACAATCACAGACTCCACCTCCATCATTGATATGGGGATCACCTGAAGCCAAATTAAAGCAGAGCTAACCTGCTTTTTCCACAGTTAGAAATATTCTTGTCTGTTTCTTTAGAAAAATCACTTGATGCCTTTTCAGGATTTGACTTGACTTCGATCTTGGGCACAAGTGAGGTATCCACCATGCTTGGACACACTCGGTGGTTCCTGATAGCCTGAGCTCTGGTGGCGTAGTGTATAGCGAGTTGCACTACTAACTCAAAGTCCACACCTCTCTGGTGTTTGAAATCCACCAGTGGCTCTGCAGGAGAAAGATGGGCAATCTTCTGTGAGTTTTAAAACTGTGGAAATCAGCCTGGAGGATCAACTGTGAGTTGGTTCCGACTCAATGGCAAGAGTTTTGTTTGTTTGTCCTTACTTAAGAGTAACAGAACTATAGGGTGTTTTCATAAAAAGTTTTCCTAAAACATTTTCCTGTGGTATGAACTTTTAAACAGTAAGAGTGTTCCAGCCTTCTCAGTCATCTTTCCCATCTTAGCTATGAGGCAGAAACTAATGTCCTTTTCTTTCTTCCTTCCTCCCTCCCTCCCTCCCTCTCCCCCTCTCCTCTCTTCTCTCTCTTTCTTATCATTTTTTTATTAATTTCAATGAAAATTTACAGAGACTTTGGATTTCCATTCATTCATTGTTGTACCTTTCTCCCTGCCCACCCCTCCCCCCCAGTACACTCCCCTCTTGGAAAAGCAAAAGAAAAATTCTTTCATTGTTTTACAATCCCTCCCCCCAGGTCCACTCAACTATGTAGCCTTCTCCCTGGACTCCCGTCATGACAAAAATACCAAATCACATAGCCCTTTTAAACAGTTTTCTCCCTCATCTGTTTCAATGCAGTATACATTATTTATCCCATCTTTCTCAGTCTCCCCCCAGCCCCAGTGTCAGTCCTGTTTTACAACAGTGGCACCATGCAGTATTTGTCCTTTTGTGACT